ATTCCTGCTACATATTGCAGTAGTTAAGGAATCAATGCTGCTTTAAAAAAAAAGTATTCTATGCTACACATGCCTCCATTTCTTCACATAGTGCAAATTTCTTGAAGTCTTCCAACAAACACTCAAGCTGTTCTGTCACTGTCCAAATGGCCCCTTCGTAAGGCATTAGATCAAGACTCAGAAAATCCAAGTTCAATTCATCGTGTCATTGTAACATTTCTTTCAAGACCTTAAGTAGAGCCACTTTGGGATCTCCTGCTCCGCATGTATAAAATAGCAATGATACTACTCCTCTCCCGCAAAAGGTTGCTGTGAACAAACACATTTAAATTTGTGAAATGCACCTGTAAGAAGCTAACAGGTCCTGCATATATGCCATGCAGAAAAGATTGCCCAGTTAACACGTTGCATCATTTTTTCCACCGCAACCAGCTCCAAACAAACTATGACAGACTCATTAAACCCCCCAGGGTATGCTTCCACAGCTGCTGAAACCACTTTAAGGTCAGGGCTGTTGGCAGGTCCCAGCCTCTCCCTATCTCATGTGCTCTCTTAAGAGAGCTGGTTCATGGAGCTAAACTAGAAGAAATTAATTCTGTTGAAAGACAGTCAATAGCATTTCACCAGTTAAATGTCTAAACTGGTCCAACAGTAGCCTCAGATGAGCTTCAGCAGTGGTGCACTGGACATGACCACCCCACACGGCACAGGATACAGAGTTCACAGAATCACAGAATCGCTAAGGTTGGAAAGGACCTTCAAGATCATCAAGTCCAACCATTAATCCAGCGCCATCGTGTTCCCTAAACCATGTCCTGAAGCACCACATCCACACGTTTTTTGAACACTTCCAGATATGGCGACTCCACCACCTCCCTGGGCAGCCTGTTCCAATGCTTGACCAGAGTTGTTGCTGTTGGCAAGAACGGAGCCGTCAAGTTGGCTTTACCACAACCACCCCCTCACTAGTGTTCAGCACTGTAAACAGAGCTTCCAACGCTCAAGAGTTCAAGCCACTGCAGTTAAAAACAACTCAGCTTTTTAGTATCTGCCATTACGTCTGGATCAACCAACAATGTTTAAAACCACCACAGATTCTTAAAACTACCAACACCAAGCAAGATGGACGTTTCTTAGAATTCTAGAACTGCATCACTTAAAATGCAACTATACTAACATGAAGAGGACTGAGTCTACAACAGGCTTTGTGTTTTATCACAACAGCTGCAGATATTCTCTTGCACCTCAAACGTTCTGCATGCAGTCTTGACCAACAACAATGGAAATTAAAAGTACTACTGCAGTACTTGAGTGCCTTCACAGATCAATGATAATCACACATTCACAAAACTATTCTTGGGAAGCGACTGCAAAGTGTTATGTATGTACAGACCATAACTTGTTGCACATGCATTATTAACTCAGCCTCAGCAGCCTGTATCAAGATGAGATGCTCTGTCAGAGCCACAGTATGTCTTACCTGGATACTATGCTGGAGCCATTGTAGAGGTCACTAGCGTAAGACAGCGTTGCCAGGGGTCGGACAGAATTGTAGCGCGTGAACTTGGATAGACACTCCTGAAACTCATCCAGCTGGCTTGTGGTTCTGCTGTCATCTAGGGAGAGGCAGCAGCATTGGGGAGGACAGAAAAAGAGTAAGAAGATAAACCTTGATTATGTCTGTTTGCTATTGAGTTCATGTCTTCACGTGACACTACCTCTGCTTGTTATTTGGGGAGGATTCTCAGTCAAAAACAGGTTTTCTTTCACCTCTAGCATCCCCTGAAGGCAGTATGATTTTTCAGAGCACAAATTAAGTCTTTCCACTGCAATGCTGGTTGAACTTACTGTGCTGAGAATCTGCCTAGAGATCACAGATACAGCTTTTCTGGTAAGCTCATTTATTTTATTCAAATTCAGAGCCCATGGGCCACATAGATTATAAACAGAAAACCTTTAAGCATATCAAAATGCACTGTGAAGAACACATCTAGTTTTCTATGGCAGTGAAAGTATATTCCTTTCCCTGTACTTCTGTTACAATATGCCTACACTTAGGAGTCAGTTACATTCAAAACACTTTCAGTAAAAAATATTTGTCTTATTACTCCAAAAGCAACAGAGCTAAGGGAGAGTTGTTTCAGGGCTGGAAAAGGAAGACAAGCGTGAAACCAGAAGACATCCTGTACTACAAGTTTTGTGAAAATTATGACCTTCAGCAGACAAGATGAAATTGAGCCAGCTTGAATAATGATGATAAATATTCTGTGGGAAATGGAACAGTTTACTACAAAAGTTAAAAATATATTGCAGTGTAGATAGTTGAAAGTCATTCCCCGATTCCTCAGAAGTGCCAACTTTTCTTGGAAAGAACAGAATTTTAACTAAACCATTTTAAAATTTAGTATTCCCTAAGTAAGGAAAAATTCCTAACTTACAGCAACATTGCATGGTCAAGTCAGGGTGCCCAATACGATCATGCATTTGCAGTCAAACATTAGGTAGTAAATTTTTTTTTTTTTAAAAAACCCCTGCTTTGTAAAAACCCCCAGAATTTGCAGCAATTCCCCCTTTCCTCCTCTAATACTCCCACCTTTGCTTTGTCTTTTTGCACGAGCACGAGGTAGGGGAACTGCAGCTACCTCCACTCTCACAGTGGTAGCACATACCACCTTGGTTTACAGGTACTGCACACCTTGTCTCCTGTTAAACCACAGCATCCACTGCAGCAGCAGGGGAACCGTACACACTACTCACTCACATGGCTGAGATCAAATTCCACCTGCTAGTTAAGTTATCCTTATCCCTTTCCTTATCAGCAGCATAAGAAAATGACAAAGCTCCACTTATTAGAAAGCTTTGGAAATACTGGGGTAAAAAGGGAGAGGTTGATCTATAAAAGCAAAATACAGCTTTGATATCGTGTGGGAAAACAGAGAGAATAATCACTTTCTGCACCCTGGTAATTCCTTGCCATCAGAAATTATTATCTTGTTCTACACTTGTAAGGCATTTTGAAGTGTCCCTTATATGCTACTTAATGTTTAATCATATAAAGGAACAGTGAAGGCTAGTAATTAGCATGTTTAAGGTACTAGCATATACATTAGCCATGTCAGATGGATCAAAAGGGGCAATGAACAAAGTGCTGCTCCAAATTAAAATCAGCACCTGACCACTACAGGAAACAGCTCAAGAAAGCAGCACATAAACATCAGTCAGTGTTTTTCAAAGACTGTTTCCGCCTTCGATGCTATGATAGGAACAAATAGCTGCTGCTCTTCCATTTCCCTCATCTAGAGATCAAGCACACAGTCCTCCTACAATTTATTCTGTATCTGTGCCTGGAAAACCAAATGCTATTTCAAGACATTTTGCCTGTCAAAGTGCGAGACCATTTCATAATTACCATTATATTATGTCTCCACTCCCTACTAGAACAGTCATAGGCACTTCTTGCAAAAAGGTTTAAATGCATGTTTAAATCTTATTT